GGGGGGGGGTCGAGAACAGAAGTAAAGAGGGGAACCTATGCAGGGCTAGACACTGACGCTCTACAAATTTGAGAGCTGCAAAATGGTGTGAAGTGCTGCTCTGCTCTCACTTTTGTGGAGCCTACAAAGCTTCCCCGGGCACAGTCTCTCCTGAAAGTCGGTTGGTGAGGCCGACGGCGCACGACGGGCCTGGTAGGACCCCCGTCAATTTTCTTTTCCAACTGCAGGGTGCCTACCGGTCGCCTACCGGTCGGCGCCGACTGCGCCTACCATAGGCAGGTCGGCCGCCTACGGTTCCGGGGGTGCCGACGGTCGGCAAGAGTACCCTGATGTACAGCAGATATAATCATAAATTATGAGAAAGAATGGTTATATATTGGGTTCACAAAAAGACTAATATACTCCTATACGAGGTTATATCCATAAACGATGGATATAGTCATAAAAGAAATGACAGATATCAAAGTCAGATATATATTTCATAATCGTTAATATATATCGTCAAACCGAACTGCCCGGTAAACCGAAGGCTGAGAGGGAGAAGTGGACAACAAACGAGGGGCAGTGACAGAACGTTTCGTCGGACTTCCCGGTACACCATAGGCAGAGAAGGAGAAGAGGACCACCAACAGAATGTTTCGTCGGACTTCCCGATAAACCATAGGCTGTGAGAGATGGCTTCGCCAACGTTTCATGGACTCATCAAGAGGCTGAACACCTTTTTCTTTTTTTTTTAAGGAGGCTAAAAAGGCTGAACACTAGTCATAAAAAATGGCGGACATAATCATAAACCTCTCAGGGACCAAGTACCAACACTGGCAACAAGCAATTTGAAAGAAGCAATTCATTTAAAGCAACGGAGCACAAAATAGCAGTACTGTTTCTTCAGTTACACAAGGGACGAACAAGTAACTGAAAGAGAGAGTGGGGGAGTGGGGGAGTGGGGGAGAGGGGGAGAGGGGGAGAGGGGGAGAGGGGAGGGGGGGGTAAAGATTGGGAATCCGAAACAAAGGGTGTAGTGCGAGCTTGTACTGGCATGCTCTGGTTGAATGACACATGCATCCAGCTATTAATAAACAGATGAAGAATTCAAATCCCAATGTCAAACAAAAGACCTGGAAATCCTGCACCCCCTCCCTCCCCCCCCCTCTCCACCTTCTAATTAAAAAAGAAAAACAAGGGCAAACCTGAAGAGCCTGCTGCTGCATCATCCCTGGAGATGGAATTGGTAAGGGAGGCGGCGCCGGAGCACTGCTGATGATTGCAGGAGTAGGAAGAAGTCCGCCTCCAGATGTAGGGGACTGACCTGAAAGTGTCAGAGGAAGCGAGTGTCAGAGGCAGCAAGTGTAAGGAGGAAATCCAGCAAACCGTTTTTCTCCCTTAAAAAAAAGAAGAAAAAAAAGGTCATTATCTTGCCTTTTCTTCAATCATCAGGTTTCGCTATTTGTCAAACATGGCAAACCTCGTAAGGTCAATGGAAATAGAAAGAGAGTAATCAAAGAGCAGCAGAAGAAAGATCAGCATGAAATTTTGATAAACACTTGATAAAAATGACCTAGTATCTATCTAATTCTGAATCTATCTTTCTTTTCAAAGTGATTTTGAATAATAGATTAAAATATCTATTGAGAATTGAACTT